CTATGTTCAAGATCCGTGAATCATGTGTTTTTAATCAAAATACAACTCAATTAGTGCATTAATTATAAGATTATTAATTGCTAATCTATGGTCAATTATGTACAACAATCCCCACCCCACCCGTGTGCAGAAAGTTGTGATCATTTTGGTCTAAAATATGCACTCATAGTTTCATGTTCAAACTTTTATACTTTAAAGACTGGAGACTGGACCATAATAGTATATGAATAAAGAAATTAAGTTCAAGAGTTCACATTATGACTATCAACTATGTTCATGCTATAGCTAAAACCCTAAACCCCATGTCCAAAATTCTAATACCGTGTTTGAGAGGTTCTTCTAGAAAAAGTGCTTCTAAGTAGAAACATACCCTAAATCCATTTTGGCTTAAATGGCCCTGTACTGCTCTCATCCATATCATAACCTCTTTAACTGCACTTGTTGCAATGCACAAGAAACTAATGGGATCAAACTTTTTCTGCTAGCTACTTTGAATTCGAGGACAACGAAAGCCTAATGAAACTTAGTGAATGAGCAGCAGCAGTAATATTGGAGAGTTTCGAGTCATAATTGACTGTAGTTGGTTATTAAGCTTAGGAACCTGAGTTATATTAAGGTGGCAGATTGTTGCTTTGGAGAAGCAGCTGCCTGAGGTTGTTCTGTTTCGGAGAGCAGCGAAAGTTACATGAACAATTAGCTTTGACTAATTTCAGCATCTTCCTTTGAAACATCGTTTGTGCTTGAAGTGTAAAATTGCAACAAAATGCCTATTTGTTAAGTTTAAATGAATCTTCTAGTACAGGAAAATGGTCGCTTATAAATAATAAAAAAAGAAGATGTACAAGATGAAGACGTGCAACGGCAGCATAAGGAATACGTTTGCATGGATAAAACGAACTAGCACACTAAGAAATTGGCATTATTGATCCAACGTTCTGATACACTAACCTTAGAAAACAAATGAATTCAACAAGCAGAATTTGCCAGTCACATGAACAATTAGCTGGCCTAAGCTTAACCAAGAACAACTAGAATTTCATGTTAAGTATCTTACCCAAAGGCGGACATATTTTTTGTGTTTCTTCAGATGCAGGAGGGCTAAATTGTTTAGGGGACTCGTATGGAGGAGGGCTGAATTGTTTAGGAGTAGATACCTCCGTAAGTGCAGCAAGAGCAGCTCTTCTCTTTTGCTTCACTTGTCGCCAAATCCTTATCTGGTTCTCTAGTCCTGCTTTAGCTTTCTCAGCAAGATCAGCCCTAGTAGCAGCCTGTTCAGCCCGGTTGCGGAATTGTGCTACCTTTTCCATTGCAGCTTCCAACTCCTTCTTCAAACATTCCAACTCAGACTCTTCTTCCATGGTGCTTAAGCTTAACTGACTAAAGCCTTCCTCCAATGGCAAAGGAATTTGATCAGCCTGCTCAGCCTTCTTAATCAAGGACTCGTATTCCTTCAAAGAAATTGTTACTTGGGCCTCATTCTTATCAGTTCTTTCTTCTGCTTCAGTGTTCAGTTCATCGATTCTAGAAACCACAACATCTTCCTGAGAATCTTTCTCAAAATGAGGATCAACAAGGATAGAGTGTTCATGATTTTCTTCCTCTAAACTATCTGCTCCTTGCTTTAACATTCTGTTTTCCTTCTTGGCTGTCTCTGCTTCTATTGCTAGTTGCTGAATAGCTAGGTACAAGCCAGACTTGACATTCTCATTTCTTGCTTCAGCTGCCTCTGCTGCTGCAGCTTTTGACCTCCCGCTGTGAAGCTCAGATTCCAGCATTGCAATCTCAACCTGTGCTTTGTTTTCGCTTTCCTTGATCTCATCAATCTCAGTTTTGGCCTTCTGTAGTTCTTCAGTAAGAATTTTAACATCACTCTTCAAGCTATTGGTTACTTCATTTGCATTAATTAACTCCAATTTTAATTGATTCAGCTCCATTTCTAGTGCCTCAATGAAACCTTCCTGGTCCAAGATCTTTCTTTCCTTAACTTCTAACTCTTCTTCTAGCTGCTTCAAGTCATTCATGACATCAGAAGCAGCCTTCTCAGAAAAACTAAGTTGTTCATTCACCTGGTTAATCTCCAATTGAAGCATATCAATGAATGAAGACTTGGCAAGGAGCTGATCCTCCAACTCCTCCTTCATTCCTATTTGTTTTCTCACATCCTCTAGCTGCTCCTGTGCTTGAAGAGTAGCTTGTGCAGCTATCTCAATCTCAGCATCTTTCTCAGACAATAAAACCAACTTCTCTTTCTCTGCTTCAATAGCAGCAACCTTTGACATAACCACGGCTTCATTGAGCTCCGAGACATGTTTAAGAAGCTCTTCTGCCCTCTCTTTTTCCATGACGAATGCTGTTTCCATCAGCTCCGCTTGTGTTAGAGCTTTGAGCTCCGAATCTCTGGCATCAGCGAGTTCTGTTTCCATGCTAAGCAGCTCTGCTTGTGTGGCCTTCAACTCGCTAAAAACATGCATAAGCTGCTCTCTTACCTTGAGAGTGTCTGAGAGCTGATCAGCCATCTCCCTCACCTTGGACTCAAGTTGGTGCACCTGAGTTCTAGCCTCTTTGCTTTCTTCTATGTATCTATCTCTCTCAACCTCAATGTTTTGAAGCAGGATGGAAAGTTCATCTGCTGTGTACTGGTGGTGTTGCAGCTTAAGAAGAACTTGCATGTAGGCGGCATCCTTTGCTTCCAGTTGTACCTTGTAATTGGCCAAATCCTTCAAAACACCTTCAAGCTCTCTCTCTTTCTCACTCTCCTCCTGCAAAAGAATGTTGGAGGATCAACAAAATTAATCAATATACAAATTACTATTTAAAGGATTTGCAAGATTTTAGGATTTCCATATGGTAGGTGCATAATGCATGCCAAAACAGCCTATCAAGAAAACAATTACATACAATCCATTACAAGATTTATGTGTTGAGCAATTCAGTTTTGGTATGATTAGACACAATGCATGGATATATCACCTTCAAATATGCATTTCAAAGAACTACTAACAATTTGAGACTTGCGTAAAATTCAAACTGGAAACCCTAGAAATTACAAAATAATGATCAAATCTCATACATCACCTCTCTAAAATTCACAGCCTAGAAAACAAAGCTATGAGTTAGGCTAGAAAAACCATATGCATATATCACAATTCAAACTCAAAAGAAAGAATCTTCTAATCTTGGAACTACAAGTTAATGGCAGGTACACATATAAGGTTAGGTCTTACATCGGTGCCGGTAGGCCGGGTTTTCCGGTGATCAGTCTTCTCTTCAAACAAAGACAAAGCAGCCTGGACTGATTCAATTGGTTTGGTATCAATCTCCCCCATACTTCCCAATCAATTGAATATCCTGGAAACAAAAATGACACAATTACAATTTATGTTAGCATTCAAAAAAACAAGCTATACCTCAAAATCCATTAATGGGAAGCTGAAGAATGGTACCTGAAATTGAGTGAGTGAAAGGGGAGAAAGGAAGCAGAGGAAAACTTATCTGAAACAAGCAAGAATTCTGGAGACACATAACAAAATGAATCATGGTTTTATGTGGTTTTGGAGGATGCTACAAAGTTCCAGTCTGTGTTCCGCCTGTGCCTTGGATTGATCACCAAAATCAAAGCCCTTGGTTTCTAGTGCTTGGAACTGTTTAATTTCCTTCAAAACTCAAAGGATAAAGGATATAGAAGAACATAGATGACTAAGCAAGCAATTGTCCCAAGTCCAGTTGTTGAAGATGGTATATACCTTAAAAATTTCGAACTAAACATCTTTAATTCGACCGTAAGTGTAACATATGTTCATCAGCGTCACATTCTCGTATGTTTGATTTAATATAAAGAGCCGATCGAATGGGACTTCTCACCTGAGAACGAAAATGCCAACTGGATGACATGTGATTTTGTCTCATGGCCTCATAAGCACATTTAGCCTCGTACACCATTATTGAACCATGAAATGGAGAATGGTTAAAATGTTGGGAGTTTCACTAAAACACTCAAAATGGAGGCTGAAATTATAAAAAAACCCAACATCCAAAATACTTTATAAACACACCCAAAATCCATCATTACACACACTCAAAACCCATTTATAAACACACCCAAAAAATAAACAATTGTTGATTTTGGGATTGATTTTGGGTGTGTTTTTATATTTAAATAGTGCTTGAGTTTTTTTTATAAATACATGTCTAGGATTGGGTTTATTTATAAATTTGTATAAAAGGTTTCGTCCCCATCTTCCCTTAACTTGCAATATAATTAGCACTTATTATTGGCTTGAGTGAATTGGAAGCATAGTTAACTTAAAATGTATCTAAAATATTTATCGTCCTTTAGGTTTGACAACATGACGGCACGAGGAAAAACTTTATCAAATATCAGAAATTCATTACTTCAGAAGTAACCATTTAAATTTGACATGTTTCCTTTTCTTCTGATGTTATCTGATGTAAACTTCAATCTCTAAATTTGAAATTTATAATTTTGATAGAGCTTAAACTTATCCATTTGGTTATAATAATAAAACAATGAGTAAAGCTTATCAAAATTTGAAAATAAAGCTAAATTCATGATCTGATTTTGACTTCGTAATGAATCGATCCGTATTGTTAGAGTTTGTTCTAAAAAAAAAAAAAAAAAAAAAAAAAAAAAAACTTTTTAACATAAAAGTAAAAACCAGCTTCTAAATTTTACTTTTCAACACCGGAAATGAATTTTTTAATATTCATTAATCGACTTTTTTGTTATTTATTTTTGTGATGTAGGTGTAGCAGCATCATGTGAGTTGGCAGATTGGTAGCTGCCACTCATATTTCATATGCTTATGATATGACTCATCATCTCTACTCTGTTTTTCTCTCACAAGCACACTGCACACTACACACAGACGGAGAGAGATTAACTGAGGCATTCTTCTTCTTCATCTTCCAATCTGGTTGAGTCGTAAGAGAGACTTGAGAGAGGACTGAGGAACTGAGAAAGCCAAAAGAAAGGAGGAGAAATGGAGAAAGCTCTGACGAAAGTTGGGAGCTTTTGGATTTCCAAGAAGGCCAAGGAAGAGATCTCCAACATCACTGAAGATCTCTCCGTATGTTTACACTCTCTTCCCTACCCTACCCTTTTCTTTTGGTTTTTCAATCTCTCTTCTAATTCTTCCTCTCTTGCATTCTTCTTGATGATCTTGAATGTATTGCCTTCTTGGCCCTTGTTCTTTCTCTTTCTGTAATCTTGACATAATGCTGCTTAATGGGGAAGACCCATTTGATCGTTTTACAAAGAGCTAAGGGAAAAAGATTATCAATTGGTGGGTTTGTATGGAGACCCGTAGAGAATTTAAGATACTGTCTTCCTTAGAATTCTGTTTCACTGAGATCTTTTTTTGTTGTTGTTAAATCTAGATTGTGTTTCGATTTGCTGATAATACCATACAAGTTTTGTGTTGCCTGACACTATACATGTGAATGATCATTTCAGTCACTCTCAAACACTGTTGAGGAGAAGGCGAAATGGATGTTCAACAAGCTGAAAGGTATGGAGCTTTTTCTTAACCTCAATGCACTCATTTTAGTCTGACTAAATACAAGAACATGAGCTTGGTGCTATCTATTGTTGTTTGACATATCACTCCTTCTGAGTTTACTGATAAATTTTTTAATTCACAAGTATTGATGTTCCTCTTTAGTCTTGTACATCTTTTCATTTGGAAACCTTTTATAACTTTTTTGGGTTGGACAATAATACTAAGACACTGATTTAGAATTTAGAACTGGGAACATTGTTGCAAGGTAGAACAGAGGAAAACAGTGTAATTGGAAGTAGCCATTTGAAAAGCAAGTCCCTTTTGTCATCTTCTTGGCCTTGTTTTTCTAGACAAGTCTCTGCATTTGCCAAGTTTTTGCAGTTGCACTTGATTTCATGATTCAGAGCTACTTTAAAGATACTTAATTTAAATTAATCAGGTAGGGTCAAATCCACAAACAAAATTAGAACCAAATAGAAGCATATAAGAATATGCATGTATGGTAGAGTGTCACCAGGCCATGATGTGGCCTAAGAAACCTCTCACTAGTTATGGAGTATCCTTCATTTATGAGTTGGTTTAGATATGTATAAGAAATATTTGGATTTCTCAACACTTGTGACAGAAACTGAGTTAGCCTAGATTACTGACCAATTTGCGGCGCTTCGGATACTTCCCACTGCCTACTTAATAGCAGGATGAAGATAATAATAATACATCATTATCTGTGTGTTCTGTATGCAATTATTTTGGTATCTGGCTGGACTGGTTCAAATTGTTCACTTATCACATGGAAATTCACTTGATGTATCAGAATTAGCACGGCTTCTAGTTGTTTCATCTGCTTCACAATAATAAACATACTTTCTTCATAGAGTGAACTCAAAATGGACATCACCTAAGTGATCCTGGCTCTATGTAGTTGGTGAATGCTGCCTCTACAGACAACATACCTCTTTTTTTCTACTAAAATGGCAAAGTTTGTGAGGATGTTTAAGGTACATGTAGTTTCAAAAGCTGACCCTTCTGCTCTTCTTTTATAGGCAAGCCACAAAAACCGTTGCCTGATCTTCTCCGAGAGTACTACCTTCCTCCGGGCCTGTTTCCTCGGAACATAACATGTTATGAATTTGATGAATCAAAGGGCAAGCTCATTGTCTACTTGCCCTCTCCCTGTGAGGTGAGTTTCAAGGACTCATCTGTTGTGAGGTACAACATTCGCATCAAAGGAACATTGTCAAGGGGAAAGCTTAGTGGAATAGAAGGAATGAAGACAAAGGTTCTGGTTTGGGTTAAAGTCACAAGTGTTAGCGTCGAGGGCTATAAGTCAGACAAAGTGTGGTTCACCACCGGAGTGAAGAAATCAAGGCCCAAAGATGCTTATGAAATGCCTCGAGATGCCATTAAAGTTGAAGACTTTTAAGGATGCGTGACATTTTTCATTTTTACAGTCATTACTTTTTTTAAAAAGAAAAAATCTTAAGCAAAACAGGAATTGTGTACATCATTGTTCCCTTTTTGGCTATTCCATATGAAAAATTTATGCCACTTATTGGCATCAGATTGTTCATGATTATTATGAACCAGTTGACTAGCCTCATTTGATCTTAAATGTTGCTTGATCAACACCAATTGCATGTTGTTCTATTTTCTTTTGAAATTTAACAAAAAATTGTGAAATTATAAACCCTACACCGGTTACTAGAACAGGAAAAAAAAAAAAAAAAAAAAAAAAAGCCCTTGGAATTTCCACTTACCATATGAACAGGACAGAGCTTGATTTTGTAAAACCCACAAATCTACAAGGAGTTTGAGAGGAGCTAAGGAGAGAGCTTGAGGGAGTTTTGAGCTGTGAATGAGGGAGGTACTGTTCTCAAAACAGAAACAAAAAAAGTGGCGGGAGAGGGGCATAAATTCAGTTAGTACAGGTGTTAAAATCTCATTGGATTGCGAGGCCAGGTCAGCATCTGACCTGGCACCCCAAATTACTCCAGTTTGAGGCAAGTTTTCTGTAGATTAGACTCTAGTCTCTTCTGGGAGAGAAACTTCCCCTCGTTCCTCGTCTGGTCCAATTCACACAAACCAATCAGAGAGAGAGAAGGGGGGGAGCGAGAGATGAGTTCTTCTTCACCTTCTTCTTCTTCGCCTCACCGTTCTCGTGGTGGTGGTGATAATGGTACTAGTAGCAAGAGCAAGGGTGAAGATAGACCACGCTTCTTCGATTCAAAAGCAAAGAGCAATTGCTGGGCAAAGGCTGATGTAGTGCCAGGTCGACACCCTGAGAGGTGGCGCAAAGACGCTGCTGGTAACGTTGTCTGTAAGCGCTTCTGCAACTGCCAGGGCTGCCTCTGCTTCGAGTACGATCACATAGTTCCCTTCTCCAAAGGTCCTAACTTTTCTCTTTTTCGACTGAATCGTTTCCTTTTCTTTCTGGGAAGTTTCAATCTTTTGATCCTTTTTGATGATTTGTGAACTGAGTGTTTTTTGTTTTAGCGTTTTGATTGCATATACTAGTTGCTTGAGCTCAATTTCGATATTGGTGTTTGTGTTTTGCTTCTGAACTAGTGCAATCATGTCGCGTTTTGTTTTCGAAATTTACTTGCCCTCTGTATTTTTTCAATTCTATTCTTGGTGCTGAGTAATGGTGGGAAAGAAACAATATATAGAACTAAAAGTTTTGAACTTTTTTCTACAATTGTTGCTGTGTGGCATCGTAAGTAACAATACAGGACTTCGGTGACTCATTATAATATAATGCAATTTACTTTGATTTTGACTTTTTGAGTTTTTCAAAACCTTGGCGTTGTGGAGGCATAAACTTTCAAAATTAGTTCTGATGTTCTACATCAAGTTCTTTACTCCTCAGTTCCCCAAATAAACAAAGAGTAGCCTTGATTGTCAACCAATTTGGTGTTTGAGTTCATTGAGATTTGGGATTTTGTTGTAGGTGGTGAATCCACTGAAGACAATTGTCAGATTCTTCAAACAAGAGTGAACAGATTCAAATCAGACAAAGACCAGATTGACAAAACTCAATTGAAAGGTTACTCTTGTGATGTCAAGTTTACAGGTCTGATTTCCATGTTCTCTTGTTCACTACTAATATTAGATTCTATGTTCCGTTCTGTTTAGCTTATACTTTCCATGTTCTGGTTATTGGGTTGAGCAAAATAGTTTTGGTCATTGAATTGTAAACACCATTCCATTCTCATGGTTTGTATCTAGAGATATTTAGTCATATACTCATTCTTAGCACTAAAACTATAAATAAACCCTACACCATTTAAGTTCTATAAACAAACTTTAAAAAATCCAAAAAAGGACAGCTGACCCTATTGAATTTAATTTTGATTTTTAAATTACTTTGATGCCCTATTGAGTGTTTTGGGCTTTTTTATGAGGTTTTTGGGTTTGGTTTGTTTTAAGAAATCAATGGCAGTTTTGTAATTTAAAAGAAGTTGAAAGCCTTTTTGTTATGTTGTAAATGAGCTTTGGGTGTGTTTCTAACGTCCATTTCATATAGGGTTTTTTTTATTTATAATTTGGGCTCCTATATTGGGTATAATAGTGAATCTCCCTTGTATCTTTTGCTTCTAAGGGGAACATTACTAAAATATTTTCAAGTAAAGAGTGCAGATGACTTTCAATCCAAACAAAAAATAAACTTCACACGACTAATTTATTATGTCATTGGTTTCTACTGCCCATGTCTATAGTCAGAGTTTAGAAGGTGCTTCGTGAATCTACGTGATGTTACTTAACTGTAGAAGTTTAGTTCTGATGCTCCTTTATTCCATTGACAACTATTTCAGGTATCATCCCAAAAGCATTCATCACGATTTTGAACTGTTTTTCTGGTCTAAAGTCCGAAGGGATAGTCACAATGAGATTATTTGTTTTAGGTCCATATATACGTTGGTAGTGTTTGTCATGGTATTTGGGATTTATGTCTCAATATGTCCAATGCTTTGTAAATGTTCTAGTCAGGTCATTGTTCCCAATGGAGATGCGCTAAGAGTATTGTGGGTTAGATTTCTGGGGACAGAATGAAGGGTTGACTTTGGTTAGCTTGGTCTTTGTTGAGTTGCACCTAAACTTACCGGTTTTCCATATTGAGATTGATATTAAGTTGGAAGTACAAATTTACTTAGGTTCTGGTATCTGGTATGCATTTTAATTAGTTGTGAAACAGTTCTGAGCTTTATATCCAGAAGACACTAACTTATGATCAATTATCTAAACAGAATGGAGCATATTTCTTTACTCAGGAATTGGGATGCACATTGTCTAACTTGTATTCAATGTGAAAATGACACATAGTAGATTAAGCTATACCTTCACTTAGAACTTGTTTCTGATAGCAAAATGTTCGCTTGAAAATTCGTAACTACTTTCTGCCATTATTCTCATAACAACCCTTTTCCCTGATCCTTCCTTATATCCTTGAATCCTTCTTGCTTGTTCCTGAGAAATTTAGATCTTGCAAGTCTAAAGTCTTTAATTACTACTTGCTATTGAACTTTGATGTCATCATAGTCATACGTTTTAGAAATAATCATCCAAACTTCTGATAGCCTATCTGCTTGAGTCAACATAAATGTGATTTGCTTGGTTGAAATAAAAAACAAAAAACAAATGTATGCACTAGCCTTCGACGCGTTCTCGTTCCTGTAGCAGCTATTAGAACTGGTGAGACGTGCATCTCAGAATCATGTATCTCGTTTAACTTGCAGATAAGGAGCTTGACATAATTGAAATGGCCGTGTATGGTGATGTGATTCGGCCAGGAAACCAGTGCCGATGCAGAACTGTAGCCGAGATGCTTGGCCAGTACAAGTCAAAAGACAAAACGGCTGCTTGCAAGTTACCCTAGATGAGGGCCTTTAGCAAGCAACCAATGACTAAATTCTGAATTCTTTTTAAAAAAACTACAGTGAATCATCTGTTGAATTTATGACTCTGCACTAAATTTGGGCCATCTTGATAAATGGTCTCATTAGAAGCATGAATCAAATCTTAACTTCCTTGTGCTATCATGGCCATTGGCCTAACATTTGAAATCACACCCCTAACAAAGCGGGGCCATTATGAAATGCAGGTAAGCAGTTTTCTTATCCTGCCTAACAAATTAATGGAGTTTCTCCTTATCTTTTCTCTTAGACGAGGTTGTAGCTAGCACTTGTTAAGATCTAATCTAACCATACATGGTTCATGATACACCGTCAAACTCAAATCATTGCAGGTTGGACCAAAATCAATAAAGAATAGGAACACTTTGGCTAGAGGTCTATTTTTCTGCTACTGCAAATTGACATTATGTATGTATACTATTACTAGTGTTAATTATAACAATGATAACCCCTAACTATTCTGCTGGCAAACATTATAGTCCAATATATATATATATATATATATATATAATGGAGGAGACAGATTTAAGAATTCATATCTTTTTGTATATGTGGTTTCTTGTTGAAGGCAAGGGTGGCTTATCATTCACATAAGCACCGCAAACTGCACGAAATCTAGGTCAGGGGAGAATCTCTATGCATGCATGTGGACATAAGAGGAAAAAGATATATGATCTGGTCTTCTTTCTTCTTTTTCCTTTTGGGGTAGTGTTCCCTCTCATCAGATCTTCTCCTGTCTCAACAAATAATAACAAAAGAACCCCCCAAAAAAATAGATATGTTGTTTTGTTTGTCTTGTGACTTGTTCTTGCAAGTGTGTTATTCTATTTTTTTATTATAATAAAAAATAGAAAGAAATGTAAGTTGACAAAAAGGGAGCGGAAAAATGATCGTTAATTATTAATCCTAATATTTGTTGACTTTAATGAGTGAAGTCGTTGGACTAAATGGTCTTTGGCAGTGACACACATGCAACTCGACCTACCTTCAAACTGCCCCATCATCAATCCCAATATTCGATTTGGTTTGTAATTGCCCAGTTTTATTATGTCATCAATTCGTAAACAAGCTTTCATTCATAAACAAAATGAAGTCTCTTGTGAAATTAGGTCATCCCAAATCAACTTAGTCAAATGCATTCCTTGGTTGGTGGTCAATGTTATAATATATATAAAAACAAATAAGTATCATGTCAAGTTTTGATACTTATTTTTATTTTTCTTGTGCATAAGTAAGTGGTAGCTAATGATCTTGATTGGATCATGGGAGGCAGCAATCATAACTTAAGGTAGTAGTGCTGTGGTAACTGGCATGCACACATCATAATATCATTTCTTCATTTCTTAATTTCTTAATTAATTATTATAATCCAATGCATGGTCCAAGGTGCAGCATCACACACAGCTGAAAATGAAAGATGACCTAAACCAGTAAGTAATATTCACATTATAAATAATTAATGTCATTTGTATATGTCATATGCAAGTACAATCGAAGCTTCATAACACTGCGTATTTTTCTTGTATATTTTATTACCAAATCAATGAAATTCTTAACCCTAAAATAAAATAATCAGAGGATTAGCCCTTAACCCGAACATAAAATATATACTTGTTCATAACTTCATACCTGTCATTAGTTCACATACTCACTTTCTCAGACATGATTGAATACACTGCCTTTTCAGCTAACTACTTTTGACATTCATCATCAATGGCATGGCCCCAAAATATCATTTGAAAGTCTGAAACCCCACTATTCATTTATTTTCTACACTACCAAATTAATTAAAAATATAAGATATTTAATTTCTTCATTAAGGTGGGCAGTGCAAGTGCACCAAACCAACTTGAGGCTAAACCAAGTTTAGCATAGAGATGCTTGTCCCATTATTTTTATGGTTCCCATCAAACTCAACATGTGTGGGCCATGGGACTTATGAAGGTGAAGAAGGCCAGATGAGGAAAATGTCAGAACTGAGAAGTGGGAAATGGGCAAAAGAAAAGACCCTGAACAGAACACATCAAGGAGAAGGAAAATGTCTTTTTTCCTTTCTCCTTTTACCCTTTTTAGGCTTCCTTTTCTTCTTTAATCAACTCCCTCTATGCCTTGTGCCTATCAACAATCCCCGCTCCCACTCAAACGCTAAGCTTGAAACAGACTTTTCAAAATCAAATTTGTTTCTCGAAAACACAGAAATAAAAGTCTGAAAAACTCAAACCCATTACATAATGCATACCATCTTAGTCAACAAGACAACAACTGCCCATGAGTTCATGACCCATGACTCTTGACCCAACTGCTAAATTTTCTAATTGGGGCCACTTTTGTTGCCTTGCCAGTCTATTTCCTTCGTCCAGTGCCCTTCTGCAGGCCAATACTACCCTACAAAAATACATACCTCGTTAACAGGGAAGCAGAAGTTTCAGTGGAAACAAAAACAGAGAATAAAAGAGTTGCAATGCAAACAAAACAAAATTCTTATGAACGAAGCGTTCTCATTTTGTTTTCAAAAAGCATAGAAAACAACCACTTTTATTTTTATTTTTTATAAACCAAATAAAAAAGACAACCTTTGGCACCACGAGAGGGGCTCATATAACTTTCCGTTGATTTCGGTCATTTTTATGCTGCATGAAGAAGCCGCGCATTAAAAATCCTATATTCACCATCTCCCGCGATTGCCGCACAAAATAGAAATTAGATTTAAAAGAGCGAAAAACTAAAGGGAAAAGAAAAGAAGAAGAAAAAGTTAGAGAGAGAAAGCGAAGCGAGTGAAAGAAGAATGAATCATTGAGATAACAAACAAACATTCTATCTTTGGATTGTTTGTATAAAACCCATATCTGTTTGCTCCTCAATTCCAGCTCTGCAATTTCCATTTTTTGATGTTTTGAGAGCTAACAAACTGCAACCCAGCAAACTCGGGTTGGTTGCTCCCGACTTCCGACCCCGAGTTCAGCTGACAGTTTCCCGATCCGGGTCGACCCAAAGTTTGGCGGGTTTGCCGTAAATGGTTATTGGGTAGAAGGCCGGCGATGGGTTGCGTGAGCTCGAAGCAAGCAGTGTCGGTGACGCCTGCGTTCGACCACTCGGGCGCGTTCAGGGACAATGTGGGGAATTCGGGTAGAAGTCGGGTCGGGTTGGGGGAGGTGGAGAAGAAGAGTAAGAAGGGCGCTGAGTTGAGTGGGAGCGAGTTGGGTGAGTCGGGAAGAGCGAGTTCAAATGGTGGCTGCGGTGGTAATTATCATAAGAGTAACAATAGTTATTGCGAGTCTTTGAGTTTCAGACTGAGTAATCTGCAGAAGTATGTGGAGGGTGAGCAGGTGGCCGCCGGCTGGCCGGCTTGGCTCAGCGCCGTCGCCGGTGAAGCCATTCAAGGTTGGGTCCCACTCCGCGCCGATGCCTATGAGAAATTAGAGAAGGTTCTTTCTATTTCTCACTCATTTTATTAAGTTCTGTATGCAAAGTTTTGAGTTTTTGTGTAATGGATATTAATTTATTTTGCTTGGTTTCTCATTCCTGTTCAAAAAAGTTTTGGCTTTTACAGAAATGTTGAAGATTAACGTTAAAATTCAATCTAGTGTAACATTCCCATTAATCATATTCTTGAACTTTTTTAAAAAAAGGTTGGCAATTTTGTCGAGAAAATTAAGCTATTTTCAACAGGGTGATCTTGCACTTAACTTTTCCTCTTCTATAAAAGATAAAAACTTTAAGCATTTACTTGCTTGAAATTGGTGGCATGCATCAGAGTAAGCTTTTGAAAAAAAACCTTTTTCAGATTGTTTGGAATTTTTATGAAACAGTATCTGGTTTTGTTCACATTAAAATGTGATGCTTCAAATCCAAACGGGTGTTTTTTGGACTGTCTTTTCTGCTGTCTAAACTTTTAGTACATAACTGTACTAAATCAATTTTGCTGCCCAGACTGTGCTGTTCTTATTCAATTACAACTCTTTATACAGATTGGACAGGGTACGTATAGTAGTGTGTTCCGAGCACGGGACCTCGAAACTGGGAAGATAGTTGCCTTGAAGAAGGTGCGGTTTGACAATTTTGAGCCGGAAAGCGTCAGGTTTATGGCACGAGAAATCTTGATTCTTAGAAGGCTCGACCATCCAAATGTCATTAAATTGGAGGGCTTAATTACTTCCCGATTATCATGTAGCATATACCTTGTGTTCGAGTACATGGAACATGACATTACGGGACTCTTGTCTAATCCTGACATCAAGTTCAGTGAGGCACAGGTTTGCTTGCCTTGCCCTTGTGAATAATTGAAGTTCTCATTCATAGCCTTTTCTTTTGTGCCGTTCTACTTCAGGTTTAGTCATCTATCTTGTTATCCACTTTCATGCTAAAATGGGTGATGCTGGTTTTATTTTGTAGATTAAATGTTACTTGAAGCAGCTGTTATCTGGACTTGAGCATTGTCACTCGCGGGGTGTAATGCATCGGGACATAAAAGGATCAAATCTTCTGGTGAGCAATGATGGAATTTTGAAGGTGGCGGATTTTGGATTGGCAAACTTCTGTAATTCTGGGCAGAGGCAACCCCTAACCAGTCGTGTTGTCACTCTATGGTATCGTCCTCCTGAACTTTTGCTTGGATCGACAGATTATGGAGCTTCTATAGATCTTTGGAGTGTTGGCTGTGCATTTGCAGAGCTACTAATTGGGAAACCTGTTCTTCAAGGGAGGACTGAGGTGATTAACTAATCAGAATACATGGCTTTTCATTATCATTTTTAGTCCTTAAATCTGACTGATGTATACCAATGGAAGCACATACAAAATCTCAATGAGAAAGTGAAAACAACTTATATTTTTGCCTCTAGCCATTATAATTACATTAGATTTAGAGGCACATTTCACTGAGATATTTGGTGGATTGGCTTTCAAAATGAAACTCAAGGGTATAGGAAAATGATTGAAAATAAACTAAAAACTGTTAAGCTGGCGTGAGCTCTTTAAAGGATGTGTATTATGCATATGCAGAGACCTCCATTAGTTTCATTGGTAAAATAGTCTACATGTTTCTCAACACAGCAGTCTGAAGGGAAAGTCCTCCATTGTAATTGTACCTGCATAATTAGAGGAATTAAAGATATGTTTTTCATAACAAGTGTTTAACATGGGATAGATTAGTAATTTTTTGTTACGTATGCCTTTTGAGGAATGCAAAAGAATTGTTTGTTGTCATACTTTGCTTTGACTTCTCCAGATCAAGTTCTTATAGACATTTTCCACTTGCAGGTTGAACAATTACACAAGATTTTCAAGCTTTGTGGCTCCCCACCAGATGATTACTGGAAAAAGTCCAAACTTCCTCATGCAACTCTATTTAAGCCACAACAACCTTATGATAGTTCTCTGCGGCAGACCTTTAAAGATCTGCCTACAACCACTTTGAACCTACTAGAGACTCTTCTTTCTGTAGAACCACACAAGCGTGGGACTGCCTCCTCTGCTCTTGCATCCGAGGTAACTATGCAAAATAATGTAATATTTCATTTTTTATACTTGCAGAAAACTACATATAAGAGAATGTGCTTCATTAATTCATTGCTAAATCATATGGTTCTAAAGTCCCTTTCCCCTTAGTGCACTGTGCTTCTTCTTCTTGGTGCCCTAAATGGAGTATGTATGCGCAAAAATTTACCTTAAGCATCGATTCTCATCGTTCATAATCTCCTAATACAATATTCTTTATTACCATTTTCAGTATTTTAAAATGAAGCCTTATGCATGTGATCCATCAAGCTTGCCAATATACCCACCTAGCAAAGAGATTGATGCGAAAAACCGAGAGGAGGCAAAGAGGTGAGGATTCATTTTCTCTTGTATGAGAAAATTTTGTTTAGTTCCTCACCAGAAAATGAAAATTGATACTTACTATTGGCACAAAATTTTCAGAAAAAAGATTGGAGGGCGAGTTCGTGGATCCGAAACAAGAAAGCAAACAAGAAAATCACTTGGATGTAGTAAATTAGCACCAGCAGAGGTCTCTCTCTCTCTCTCTCTCTCTCTCTTCATGTATGTTGTTTGTGGATATACATGTTCTAAGGTTAGCATTGGAAGGTTCTTAACAGTCATCTCAACCTTGTCTTGCAGGACTTAGCAGTCCAGTCTCAAGTTTCATATAAAATCAATGGTAGTAATGGAAATATTCTTAAGGAAGAAAATGCTATCACAGGCAGGGAGTTGCCAAAGCCATCAGCTGGTAAAGTAGAAGAGTCTTCGCATGTAAAGAATGCATCTCAAGGTGACATTCCCTTCTCTGGTCCGTTAGAGGTTTCTACATCAAGTGGTTTTGCATGGGCAAAAAGGCGAAAAGATGATGCTTCCATAAGATCTCATACTCGATCTATTTCAAGAGGACACATTTTTAATTCAATAGAACCTCCGATCGCAGTGCATACAAGAAATAACTTTGACTCAAGAAGGCATGAAAATGGGGAGCTCAAGTACAGGGTGCGCACTGACTCTAGAGGGCATGATTCATACGAGATAGCAAAGCTCACAATGATGAAACAATGGGGCAAGCTTGAGCATCCAGATTCCTTTGATGCTTCGGATGGGTACCACTCACAGGAATTATCATTGGCACTTTATCAAAGAGAGGAAATGGCAGCTAAAAGTGATCTGGTAAGTTTGTACGATGTAAGAATTTAGATACATTACTAATTTGTCAAAGACTAATGTAATGTATCATGATAACTGAATCACAATCCTGGTTTTCTGACTTTTGACTTATGGCATCATTTTTGAAATATTGATAACCATTAATTTTTCTGGTGGGGAAATTTCTTCTGAGTCCCATTCAAGATGGCAGATTTGCACATCTATTATATTCATCAAGTTCATTTAATTTTCATGTGACAAATGGGCATGGCCTAAGAGTTTAAGATGGTTGAAAAGTTGGTTGAATTGAACACAAAGGAAAACAAGTGCCCTCAATAATCACCTAGCTGCTTTAGCCTCATTAATATTGGTTTTGTGACAGGGTTTTCAACTTCAAGATCAAGGAGACAAAGTTGAATTTTCCGGACCATTGTTGTCTCAACCATATAGGGTTGATGAACTTTTAGAAAGACATGAGCGCCACATCAGAAGGACAACCCGGAACTCATGGTTCCATAGAGGTACAAGACTAATACTATGAATATTATGTATATCTTCTATAAGTGTTTTCCCACAGACTCTGGCTTGGAAAGAAATTAGTTTTTGATTAAAAATTGAAGTCAGAATACTATGGTTAATGGTTATTCTTAGTTTGTACTTTATTTGACCAAGATAATTCTTAAGCAAAGGTTTAAAGTGCACCTTAATGATATTTCTAATGGCCTTTGTGTGGCTAAAGATTGTTGCTTCTTAATTGCAGGTAAGAAGCAGGGGAAGTAATTGACTGATAGGCTGCGTTTGAGTAACTTAGAAAGAGAACCGGTCTCGACAACGAAGCAGATAATACAAGAGTTCAGGTTGGGAGCTGGCGTTTCCAACTAGGCTGCCATATCAACTATTTGAGAAAGTGAAAATCTCCACCACAAACTCAGTGACAAAAGAGACAGAAACTACATTTCCCCTTAAGGTTACTTGGAAGAGGTGGAAAAGAATGGTAGAGAATGATGGGTTCTCTTCTTTAGAATAACATCTGTTTTCTCTCTTATTCAAAACATTTTGTTTGCCTAATTAGTTCCTTGTTTCATTTTTATTTTTTTTGTAAAAGTCCCATTGGGCAAATGTATAGATTAGTGATTATGGTTTCTGAGGAAAAGCCTTGTATAGTTTCTTTTTGCGCAGGCTAAGGCATTATCCTTATAGCTTTGGTTCTTCTGAACTTCTTAAAATTTCAGAAGAGTCTTGAAACAAATTTTAGAAAAATAGCAAAAAAGGAAAGATTCTATAGCCCATGCAATGCAAGATGATTTTTCTTCCTCATAAACTCCATTCACAGGCTGCATATATAAACGTTAGACAAGCTTGATCAATCATCACAGAGAACATTCTGAGCCCCAAAATCTGAAACCCTCAAGCTCAGATCAAATAACTCATCTCAGGGCTGAAATCATTGCAGAGATATGACATTCAGAGGCCCAAAATCTGAAAGCCTCAAGCTCAGGTCAAATAACTCAGCTCAGGGCTCAGTGTTTGAACCAAAATCACAAGCATTACATGTCCATCATAGCTAAAGCTAAACCATTTCTTCTGCTAAATATCCAAAACCTTGATATGAATGTGTGTTTCTGCAACTGATAGCAACCACAAACTTAGCTGCAATGCGACTACAACTTTGGGAGCTTTGTCTTGGACTCTTATGTCAAAGAATCATATGGTCATTTCACTTGTAGACAAATTCAGGGAAAACCAGCAGGAAGAAGATGCAAATTCTGTTCATAGCTAGATTTAAATTCCATTCAAATCATAATATAACCACACAGCATCAGCAACTAATAGAATCAGAACAAATACAAGACAACATTAACTATCTAAAATCTTATCTACTCGGCTCTTCTGGATAGAGCAAAGAGATTGGTGCAAATCAGAGCATGGGTATTTTAGTAAAAATGGAGGGCTCCAGCCTCCATCATTACAATGTAAAGGGGTACATGAAAAGGAACCAATGGGCCAATGCGTCACTGCCATTGCCACATACAAAAGAATTATACAGTGCACTAAAATTAATTATTTAACCTGAAATTATGCAACAGCAAACAGAGCTTTTCCTTTTGAGATTAAAGTAAAGACCATTTTCATAGTGTGGGCCCTCCATGTTGATTAAAAGTTAAAACAGAGTTAAGGAAGCAATTGGTATTTACTGTTACCATGATTACCCTAACAAACACATGATGGTGTAGCTGGGTGAAGGTTCTGTTTTTCATAAAACTTCACATTTGGAAGATGAGATCTCGCTTTCATAATCTTCTTCCCCAATTGATAATATTCTCTCGAATTATGCTGGGCTGCACATGGCATGCATGGAGTGGCTGCAATCATTTCATGGACCCCTCTTGAGATGATGATTGCAATCTCACCGTTCATGCTGTTGACTTTTTGCTTAATCACTTCCCTTGCATTGCATGCAAGGCACGTGGGTTTGGATCTCCTTGACCCTGTGGGCCTAGCTCTGACCCAACATGTGCCTCTGATTTCTGCAATGACAGTGTTCCTTCGATTACAATTTACAAGGAATTTTATAGAGATTAACAAAATAACAACTTAAAATACTCAATGGTATTGTATTGTTAATTAAACCAATCCAGTGCCTTTGATTCTCTGAGGATTTTGCTTCCTATGTTGGCTGCCTTTCTTATCCCCTAATAAGCTAGTACAAAAAACGTGTGATGCACGTGACATGGAAACATCAAGTTCCCTTTTTTTTTCTTTTTTTTTTAATTATTGTTCTCGGACAACTTGGCTAAACTCATATCTACAAAATTAGAAAATTTTGTATAATAATATGTTCAAGAAATGATATTCTAAATTACTATAACATACACAAATATTGTATTGGTTAACAAGTCTAACTTACCGTAAACTTTAATTGCATTTAATATAAGAATAGAAAAAACATGTATACGAGAATAATGTATTTTATTTAGTAATGTGTTAAATAAAAGCAGCTCTATGCTCAAATTTGGGTCACTAATCAACCATTACATGTATATAATTATACCTTAATCACTGCGCATGGAGGAACAAACGAAAATATCATTCTTCTCCTAAATTTAATCATTCTCTATTGTTGTTGTCATCTATACACAAACTTGAATTTTATTAGTATTCTATCAGTATTGGACCAACAAATCATTAGTGACAAATTGTCATTAGTGACAACAACGAAGCTAAAATTGACAGTGACTACCAAACTAATCAATAATTTTAACTGATTATGTGATAATAAAGAGAGATTGCTTGCCCAGCACAATTAACAATTAACTGTCACCGTCCATTACTTGGACTGGATGAAAGTATGTAAATGGACGGCACTGATTGCTGCCTTAAGAAAAAACCCAAGAGGTGGCCTTTCACACCAAGCCAACAGACGGCCCAGAGTTTGACCAACAAGACAAAAAGAAAGGGCCCAAACTTGGAGGGACCAATCCTTTGAGGGTAATTATTCAGTACTTTCCAGACCGCAACAGTAGGTGGTCTGGTCTGCACCACCTGATGCGAAGCTTGTTTGAACTTCCATATTTATCAGATTCGTGATTGGTTTATACCGATGCCAGTTGGTGGTCCACAACACAGCTAAGCTAAGCTTGTCCAAATGTTTGACTTTCACCAGACGGACACACGTGAGATCAATCACGTGGTTCCAGTTGCTAGACGACAGCTCTTGGCACTTCAAAAGCTGTCGTATTGTCGAGAAAGAGCAAAAGGCGTTTCGGGAAACGTACAATTTGAAGAAGAAGATTAGAAGAAACGAAAGAAACGTTCTGATGAAACAAGTGCCGTCAGATCGTGTGACGTGTCAAAAGCATATGGCACCCGGAGAGAGAGCAGAGAGTAGCGCACTGCGCACACAACAATACTTAGGTATGGGGATTGGGGAATTGCTACACTACGACATGACGTTGTTTCGATCGCACCCCACGCCTCCTCAGAAAGCTGAAAACATTAGGATTTTAATCTTTGGAAAACCTTGCACCGTAAATCTGACAAAATATACGAATAATAATGAAGAAAAAAGAATCTTTCACTTATTAATTAATCATAAATTTGTATATTGTATGTAAATTTATGATCTCACATTCGAACTTTTATGACACATTGATATATAGATCAATAGTCTCGGATTGGAACCTTTATGACACATTGATATGTAGATCAGTAATCTCATGTTTGAACCTCTATAACCGTGTGTGTGAGAAAATTTTCTTTTTCTTTCCTAACTTTCACGGAAAGAAGAAGAAATAAACTTGGGAAATAAATTAGGACAAAATGATAATATTTCAGACACAAATAGCAGCCTAAAAAGAGAAAAAATTAATTTACGTGTTTATAACTTAACAGTTTTCACTGTTCCATTTTTACCAAGACCCAAGAAAGAAACGTAATCTTTTTCAGACAGTAACAGTTGTCTTTAATCTTCGTTTAACTTTGTAACTAATCAATTAATTAATTAATTTTCCAGTTTCGTATTTGCCACGTAGGGTTGGTGCCCGACCCATCTTCGCGCTGCCCGAACCCAAACAACAGCAAAAACAAAAAAAAAGAAGAAAATTAAGAAAAACAAAAGAAAAGAAAGCGAGAGTTGCAGACACACACAGGTGCCAAGGACAAGGAGACGGGTCTGATAATTTTCTCCTTTTCAGTCCACTACGCTTCTCTCTCTCTCTCTCTCTCTCTCTCTCTCTCTCTCTCTCTCTAAATTCCTACGGATTTCTAATTCCCTCTCTCGTATTTGCTGTCTCTTCCCAAAACCCCTCCACTCTCACTTCTTCTTGGAAATTCAATTCCCCCGTTTTGTTCTATCTTCCCATTTTCCTCAATTGGCAAATTCTTTTACATTTCGGGAAACGCCGGAAAGGTTGGTTCGTTCGGGTCGGGTTTGGGTCGTGGTAGAACCGGATAAGGACGAGATCTGGCTAAACCTATTTCGTGGGTTCGAAATTGTGATCCAATCGGAGCTTCAGTGAATTACCGTTTTGGATCCGATCGGGGGAGAAACAGCGCCATCAGATGGCGCTGTTCAGACGATTATTTTATCGGAAGCCGCCGGATCGGCTTCTCGAGATCTCCGAACGGGTGTATGGTACGTCACCTTTCGTCTCTCATTGACAATTTTGCGAAATTCTGGTTTTTGTGTGTGCTCAATTGTTGAAGTTTCGTGTGGTTTCGGGGCAATGCGATTGAATTTGCGTCAAATTGAGAGTTTTTTGTTTTTGGGGTTCTTGCTGTAATGCATTATGCTCGGTGCACATTTTGTTGTAGAATTATCCTCATTATTTGTGCGCACATGTTGTTTTTGTGTAAGTATTGAACAAATGATGGGAAGTAGTTCCCTGCTTTGCTTGAATTGTACAATTGATATTTTGATATGGTAAAACCAGCTGAGGCAGAGCTGTAGAGTTACAAGAAAAGTTGAGGAGATTGAATTTCACTGCTTCTGTTAGTGAGTCACTCTGGAACTGTATTCTTTTCATATTGGCTTTATTGCGCTCGTGATCATGTGCCTGGTGTTGAAATGGAGCTCAATTGAGAAAGAAAGATTTTAGTTCTCCTTCTTGGTCTAAACCTTTTGTGGGTTGTGAGAAATGTAGAAAGGTTTCGTCATGTGACATTACCGTCTTTTGAGAAATTAAGATATTCTTCTCTCTGTAATTTCTTCAACGTGGTTTTTCTTTAAAAACTGATAAATTGTATATCATTGCCTTATGGATGGTGGAAGTTTATGCATTTTTTATACTCTTTTCTGTTTCGACGCTCTTATGTGGATTTTATTTCTTTGGCAATTCTCTTAGTTGAAAATTGTGATGCATTAGTGTTAATGGGATTGATTGTTACTTCCTTTTCCTCTTTATATGCAGTTTTTGATTGCTGCTTCTCCACCGATGTCTTGGAAGAAGACGAGTACAAAGTATACTTGGGTGGCATTGTAGCACAATTACAAGACTACTTTCCAGATGCTTCTTTCATGGTGTTTAACTTTAGAGAAGGGGAGAGGCGGAGCCAAATTTCAGACGTGCTGTCTCAGTATGACATGACAGTTATGGATTACCCTCGGCAATATGAGGGTTGCCCACTGTTGCCACTAGAGATGATTCATCACTTCCTTCGATCAAGTGAAAGTTGGTTGTCATTGGAGGGGCAACAGAATGTGCTGTTGATGCACTGTGAAAGAGGAGGATGGCCTGTCCTTGCGTTTATGCTTGCAGGTCTTCTGCTATACCGTAAGCAATACAATGGGGAGCAGAAGACTCTTGAAATGGTTTACAAGCAAGCTCCTAGGGAACTTCTCCATCTTTTGTCTCCTTTAAACCCACAGCCTTCGCAGCTGAGATATCTTCAATACATTTCACGAAGAAATTTGGGATCTGACTGGCCTCCATCAGATACACCTTTACTTTTGGATTGTCTGATACTTAGAAACCTTCCACTTTTTGATGATGGAAAAGGTTGCAGGCCTTTCATACGTGTTTATGGTCAAGACCCTTCCACACCGGCTAACAGAACTTCTAAGCTTCTCTTTTCAACTTTAAAGAATGAAAAGAATACCCACCTCTATGTACAGGTAATGTCTACTTCATGCAACAAAAACTGGTGAATAAGATAATATTTTTTTAAAGCGTTCTTATGAATCCTAATCGCAGGCAGAGTGTGTGCTGGTAAAAATTGATATTCGTTGCCGTGTTCGAGGGGATGTGGTTCTTGAATGCATCCACCTGGATGAAGATCTCGTTCGTGAGGAGATGATGCTCAGGGTTATGTTCCACACAACATTTGTACGGTCAAATATATTGATGCTTGGCCGTGATGATATTGATATTCTTTGGGATGCCAAGGATCAGTTCTCAAAGGACTTTAGAGCAGAGGTATGTTATTGTTTTTTTTATGTTGATGTCCTTTTCTGAAGCTGTAGGAGTTGAATGCATACTGAAATCTGCATCAGGTACTTTTTCTGGACGCTGATGCTGTTGTGCCTAATCTCACCACAGTTGTGGCAAGTGAAGATGGAAATGAGACAGGGAGTGCTTCACCTGAAGAATTTTTTGAGGTGGAAGAGATCTTTAGCAATGTAATGGATGCACAGGAAGTGAAGGTGGACTTCCACACGTCCATGACTCACAACAATACTCTCAAAGATATAGATCGGAAAGAAGTCTGGAAGGAGGATTTAGATCCTCATGCATTCCTAGACTGTACGTCAGATGATGGGAAACACAAAAAGGACAGAAAGGTGGATTCTAATATTGATGCGGTGAAGGACATTGCTGTTGACGACGTGAAGTACAAGCTGGATGAGGTGGATTCAAATCTCGATGCAGTGAAAGACATTGCTGTGGATGATGGAGATATGAAGTCAAATTCCATCCTGATTGCTGCTGATGTGCAGAATCAAACTGGAACTAAGGAAGTGGTAGAAGAGGTGTGTCGGAAATTGGAAGAGATGGAAGATATAATTAATGAAGAAGACTCGGCCATACAGAAGAGGTTTGAGACCAAGATTTCACAACAAAAAGTGAGTGCTGAGGTCTCTAGACAAAAAGCTGAGAAATTGCAGCCACCTGCTTCTAGGAAACAGCCTTCATCGAACACAAAAGTAGCTGCAGAAACAACTGTAGCAAAACAGAAGACTAAACAACTAGAAACTCAGGGTCCTTCGGCAAAAGTAGCTAAACCAAACGCAGTATCTAGGTGGATTCCCCCTAACAAAGGCTCTTATACTAATTCAATGCATGTTTCATATCCACCATCAAGATATAATAGTGCACCAGCTGCTTTTGCAAGTACTGCTTCTTCAAAAGATACAAATGCAAATGCTAAATTGAAGGCTTCTTCTGTTAATACTGCTTCTGGGACTGTAGTTTTGAAGGATGTGGAAAATGAACCTAAACATGGTAAGGTGGATGCTTTGAAGCCTTCAAAGTCTGCACCAGAGACACTTACGGAGACACTTACGGAGACACTTACATCCTGCTTGCCATCAACACTACCACCAATTCAAGAGACAGAGTCTTCCTCTATTTCAACAGCACATGTTGGCCTACAACAAGTAGTGCCCCCTCCACCTCCGCCTCCGCCTCCGCCTCCACCTATGTCTCACATCTCTTCATTGTACACGCACCCTCCTAAGTCTTTGTCACCAGCTACCTCATTGTCACGGGTGGCTGCAATAGCAGCAACTCCACCTCCTCCTCCTCCTCCACCACCACCCCCACCTCCACCTCCACCTCCACCTCCACCTTTTTCTGCTCCATCATCTAGCAGGCAGAATACTGGTATAGCTTTGCCCCTTGCACCTCCACCTCCACCTCCACCTCCCCCTCCCTTGCAATCTGGTGGGCAGAATAGTGGCACCATATTGCCTTCACAGCCTTCTTCATCTCTTTGGAAGGTTGGGTACTCTTCAGCTGCTCGTGTTATGGTGGCAACGTCTCAAAATTCACCGCCTCCCCCTCCCCCTCCACCTCCTTTTGTTGTAAGTACATTGAAACCTCTTGGAGTTGAAGTACCTACCCCACCTCCACCACCACCGCCACCACCACATGCTCGTGTTACTCCACCTCCTCCTCCACCGCGGCCTCCTATGGCTGGAGTATCATCTACTCCACCTCCACCGCCCCCACCTCCTTTGTATGGAGCTCCACCACCACCACCACCACCACCACCACCTCCAATGCAAGGAGCTCCACCCCCTCCACCACCACCACCTCCAATGCAAGGAGCTCCACCCCCTCCACTACCACCTCCTTTACGTGGAACTCCACCTCCACCACCCCCACCACCATTTTCAGTACATGGAGCACCTCCACCACCACCACCACCTCCAATGCATGGAGCCCCACCTCCACCACCCCCTCCAATGCGTGGAGCCCCACCTCCACCGCCCCCTCCAATGCATGGGGGACCACCTCCCCCACCTTCAGGGCATGGTGCACCTCCTCCTCCTCCACCTCCTGGTGGAGGTCGCCCTCCTCCACTGCCTGGAGCACCACCTCCGCCACCACCTCCAGGAGGTCGTGGTCCTGGGCCTCCTGCTCCACCTGGTCCTCCAGGTGGTGCTCCACCACCTCCAGGAGGTCGTGGTCTTGGGCCTCCTGGGAGAGGGCGCGGACGTGGGATTGGGGCTGCTGCCACAGCGCCTCGAAGGTCCTCCTTGAAACCACTACATTGGAGCAAGGTGACAAGGGCGTTGCAAGGAAGCCTGTGGGAAGAACTGCAAAGACATGGAGAGACTCAAACGTAATCCATTTTATTTTTCTACTTATCATTGCATTAGTAGGATGTTTTCTATAAAAAAAATATATATATATTATGTTGTTGCTTTGAAGGATCATACATGTTCAACACTCACACATTCATTCCTGATCACTAATGTGCTGCTCTTTACTCTAGTGCGCCAGAATTTGACGTATCAGAGATAGAGAGCCTTTTCTCTACTACAGTTCCAAAACCTGCTGATTCAGGAGGTAAATCTGGTGGGCGCCGCAAGTCTGCTGGTTCCAAAACTGAAAAAGTCCACCTGGTAATTTTATATAATTGGTTATTATGCTGTAAAATCATCGCATCTTCTAAAAGTTATACTAGTGAAAGGTGATTCTTTTGATTGTTCCTTTTTGTGGTTGTTATGAGATTCGATTCTTCTTTACCAGACTTTATTGCCTGCCTTAATTTGACTAATAAAGTGTAAAAAGCTCTTTTCCTATAACAAAAGAAAATGTAACTTGCAATTTTTCAAGGATGAATACATGGAAAAGTATTTTGTATGTGCTAATATAAAGTTTTTCTCCTGGCTATCCATTGTGGCCGCCTTCCTTTTAATGTTTCAGACAAAAAATTCACTGAAATAGTGTGGGCAGGAAACTGTAACATGACTTTTCATATATTTTCAACACCTATATATATATATGTTCTGTTAGAATGTAACTATTTGTCGTCCATCCCTCCACGCCCCTGGAGTTTTTTTCGTATAGTTGCACTTAATATTGATTAGTTGAGTGTGCAACAATGCCGCTTGTTACCTATATTTGTTAAAGCAAAGATTTATTTTGATGAAGTTTCTTTTATCTTTTTGCAATATAATGCTAGATGCTGTTGCTTCTCTGCTTTCTTACTATGATTTGCTGTGTACCACATTTTAGATTGACCTGAGAAGGGCAAACAACACTGAAATTATGCTTACAAAAGTAAAGATGCCGCTCTCTGATATGATGGTAAGCTGACACAGTTGAATTTCTTCTTCTTTTTTCCTTGAATTTAATTTTCCATGCTGTGAATATAGATAATTTGCATATCTGATGAATCTTCTTTATTGGCTTTTAATTTCCAAATTTGGAATGCTGATGTAATAATTGAACACTTTTCTTACTTAGCTAATGATGTATTGTTATGCATATTTTCAGGCTGCAGTTTTAGCAATGGATGAGTCAGTATTAGATGTTGATCAGGTGGAAAATTTAATCAAATTTTGTCCTACTAAAGAGGAGATGGAACTTCTCAAGGTGTAGCTTCTATTTTATTTAGAATTTGTTTTTACTATTTGTAGGTTATTCTTTAGTCCTTGTACACATTTAAGAGATTTTTGCTTTTGTATTTGCTTTTAAGTATCACCATCTTCTCATTAATTATATATTTGCTTGGTTGTGATTTCTGTTGTTTAGAATTACACTGGTGACAAGGAGACGCTGGGGAAGTGTGAACAGGTATGCCAAATTCACAACATTTCATTCTTGACCAGGCCATATTATTTTCTTGAAGTATTTCCCTGGGTAGATTTTTTACTATGATTGAGTTATTACCTCTGCCCCTTTCTGTTTCATATACAAAAGCTTTGACCGGGTTTTGAATATTTTAAATTATGAAATTATGATTCAACTCTTCTAATGTCCCAATGTTCTTGTCCTTCTTGATGTTATAATGTTGGAGAGACAGATGACGTTATGTGCATATTTGATTTTAATTTCTCTTGAATATTTTTACAGCTATAAGTAATTGTCAGATATATAAAGTCTATGTACATTTGTTATGTTTCAGTACTTTTTGGAATTGATGAAAGTGCCTCGGGTGGAGTCAAAGTTGAGAGTATTTTCTTTCAAGATTCAGTTCGGCTCTCAGGTTTGGTAGTATCTTTTTTTTTTTCCTGATGTCAGTAAATATGACCTAAATAATGTCTTCTTTGCATCATTGCCTGATTATTTAGCTCTTTTACAGGTTTCGGAATTCAAAAAAAGTTTAAACACAGTAAACTCTGCATGCGAGGAGGTATGTCACTACTAAGAATGAATTGCTTCCTGCAGTTTATAGACACCAGTTTTAACTTGGTAATCGATTACTGCTCAATTAGGTTCGGAACTCTGGCAAGTTGAAGGAAATTATGAAGAGTATTCTTTTTCTGGGGAACACACTGAACCAAGGAACTGCAAGGGGTAAGTTGTAGCGGAAGTTTTTTTATGTTTCTTGACTTAAGGCATAGTAGGAAGGTTCTTTTATATGTTTCTTAAAGTAGAGACTTAGGCTATTTTACATCTCCATGAGTAGCATGGTCAATGTTGTAGACTGGGAAGTAGCACTGCCTCAGGTCTCTGAATAGCTTTTAGAAGCTTGTGTGCCATTTGATTTAACCATATGCAATACCTTGGGGAACATTGTGCTGCTGTTTGAAAATTCAGAGCACTGTTGGGTTCGAAGAGAGAGATTTGATTAATCTTTGCATCACTTTCTTCTATGCATTGTGCTTCTGTTTGAAAGTTCAGAGCACCACTGGGTTCAGAGAGAAAGATTGATTAATCTTTGCATCACTTTCTTCTATGCATTGGCCAGTAAATTATTCAATTAGGCTTCTACAGTCTATGGTCTATGCCCAACTTTATTCTTAGGCATGTGCTTCACATGCTGGAACTGTGTACAATTTTTTAAGCTGATACCAAGGACTTGATCATGGAATTTTTAGATGGGCTTAGGAATTTATCCTTGACAACCAAGACCAGCAATAGCATCCATTATATTTGAAACCATCTCTTTGCACTTGGCTTAGTTTGATGTTATTTTTCTGATTTTTCTTGCATACTTATTTTTTATATTACAAAATGCAAAAATATTTCCCGAAGTAGCCTTGGTGAAATAAAATGAATTGTCTAATGTTTTATGCAGGTTCTGCTGTTGGGTTCAAATTGGACAGTCTACCGAAGCTCTATGATACACGTTCCAGTAATAGTAAGATGACACTCATGCATTATCTTTGTAAGGTATGTTTCTTAACTTTTTTTGGTTATGCAATGAAACTTATGTTTTGTGGCTCAATGGTATATTCTATTCTTGGTGAGCTAGTTATATAAGAAAGAAAATTCATGTAGTAAACTCAGAGGGACTGGATGTATGTTATTCTGGATAAAATCCTAGGTACTCTTTAAATATGATATGCCAGGTTAACATTTATGCTTTGTGTGGTGTTGTATAGTTGAGTTGTCAATCAAATTGCTTTCTTGTATTGTTGAGGTGGGCATCTAGTCCAGTATCATTGTAGCTTCTTTTGTGTTTTTTAATACAATATCAGTTCCTTTTCAAAAGAAAAAATAAAAATTGAATTATGCTGTGTGGCTAGATGATTTAAGTGATGCCAGTTGATTCCCAACCCCAATGGTCTTGTCCAAAAAACCATAAGGAAAGATGTTTTAGTTTCTCCTTGAGATAATAGTATGATTGGAAGCAGGAAAACTATATGCTTTGCTTAGTGTTAAACTGATTGAGAACAGATGAATAAGAGATGATTGCTTGCAAAATTTATGTCTTCCTTGCCATATGTTTATGCTTACAAGTTCTCTTTCAGATGGACATATTATCTGTGTTTTGTGTAAATGAAAATACTGTTATAATTTGAATCTCAGCTTTGGCTTTCTTGTGTCTTAGACCCTTGCTTCTAAATCACCAGGACTTCTTGATTTTCATCGGGACCTTGTCAGCCTTGAACCTGCAACAAAGGTGCCCATCTGTTTCATTGATGTTAATTCTAAGCATTGTAGTTAGATTTGTATGTGACAGATCTCGTTTCCATGCAGATACAATTGAAGTCTTTAGCAGAAGAAATGCAAGCTATAATCAAGGGGTTAGAAAAGGTCAAGCAGGAGCTGGGGGCATCAGAAAATGATGGCCCTGTGTCAGAGGTTTTCCGTAAGGTATGTAGTCTTTCTTTTTTAATGCTTTTAAGGCTTAGTGAATGCCTTTACTTTCTCTGTCTGGTTTCTTTATCGATGCCCTTACAAATTTTTTGTTCTTGTTTTCATTGTTGAAATTTCTAGACATTGAAAGAGTTCACTACTGTTGCTGAGACCGAAGTGGCATCTGTGACAAACCTATATTCTGTGGTGGTAATATGCGAATTGTGAATCGTCTCCTTTCATCAGTGTTATTTTGTATTTTATGATCATAACTTTATCATTTGATTTTGACGGACAGGGTAGAAATGCAGATGCACTTGCATTATATTTTGGCGAGGATCCTGCCCGTTGTCCATTTGAGCAAGGTTAGTTGTGGATGTGATATTGATTCTTTAGAGACTGAAATTAGCAAGAGGCCCAGATGCTGCCTACAATGGTATAAACATTGTAGTACATTCTTGCATTTCCCAAGAGTATATGTTTTGAGTGGGTCCATTATACAGGTCTTTTATTTTCGGTGGGGGAGGGGAGGGGGGTTATATCACTTTACATAGGCTTATTTACTCGTTTCGTGTAGTAATTCTGAAGCTGACTGCAAACATATTGAACCCTGTTTTGATGAATGCAGTTACTGCAATTCTCTCAAATTTTGTTAAGTTGTTTCGGAAAGCACACGAAGAGAATTGCAAACAGGCTGAAATGGAGAAGAAGAAAGCAGAGAAGGAAGCTGAAATGGAAAAAGCCAAGGGCATTAATCTCACAAAAAAGGCAACAAAATAGGTGAAAATTATAGTTGTTAAGTTGTTTTGGAAAGCACACAAAGGGAATTGCAAACAGGCTGAATTGGACAAAAAGAAAGCCGATAAGGAAGCTGAAATGGAAAGGCCAAGGGCATTAACCTCACACAAAAAGTAACACAATAGGTGAAGATTATAGTCATGCTACCACTGCATGGGGAAATTGAGCTCTCCTGCCAGGTTGCAATGTTTCTAACTAGTGGCAAGGAGCATATTGTTTTTAGGACCCTGGTCAGAATCCTTTTCTCAGTACTTGTGCAAAGGAAAGCCCTTCAAGGTTTTGTTTGGATGAGGGGAAGGGGCAACTAGTTGAGTCCTGCAGCATTTGAACTGAATGCATGAAGCTTAACTTATGCATGCTTGACAAGATGTTGAATCAGATGATCATGGTCAACTGATCAATCATGTTGGATATCGTACAAAGGGACCGGACCTTGGCTTTCACTCGACAGTTCTATACCATTAATTGAGAAGCAAAGATTCCCTAGGCAATCTGGGTTCAAAAGCCATCATGATGTCGGATCTGGCCCCTCTGGCATCCTTCTGAGAGAGCAAGTTCAGTCTTGATTCAGCCTAGGAAATCCGGTTCTGGCTTTCACCATTCGTTTGGCATAAACTGTACAGCACCAAGGAAGATGCCTTTGGGATTGTAAAGCACACTCCTGCTGTACCATGAAATCGTGTACAAATCACACTAATCCTCTCCTTAGTTTAGAATTCAATTCATTTTCCTGTAACATAGCATTTAGTTCCTATTTCTTTTTCCTCGTTACATCAAAATTTTGGATAGGACCCCGTCATGATAGATGTTGTATAGGTAAATCAGGCTAAGAAAGAGAGTAGAAGACGGGGATTTTTATTTTCTTTTTCTTTTTCTTTTAGTGGTAATTGTAAAGTAACTATAGGCTGATTTAGAAACTGCTTGTTTCGTTCTTATGGTTGATTTATGATTGAAGAACGAAGATGCGACTCGTTTCACCAAAAGAAAAAGGGAAACGAATGAAGATTCATATAATTATTTTCTTTATTATTGACCTTGAAATTAAAAGATTCAGAAGAAATTTTTAAAAAAAGTAAAAATAAATAACAATAACAATGACAAATGATCAATTGAATTTGCATAGAGTGCTGCTAAACGAACCCTAAAGTTAACTGAGTACACCCTATTACCAAATTATTTATTGAATTACTAATTTACCTTAATATAAAATGACCAAAAATGATATATTGAATTGTGAAACACCGTCCTCGTCTCCTCCACCGGACATAGCAACGTCTCATTCATAAAATTGTCTCCATTGTCACACTAACACCGTCATCATACCATCCGCTTCTCCACTATTACAGCAACCTCGTCGTTGTACTATGATACTGGCGTCGTGGTCGTCCAGTATTGGTAAATCTAATTTTGATTTTGTTATCAAATGCGTTGTACTATCTTGATTTGTTCTTCATGGGCCAAAATGTTTTGCAACCTTCCTCTAGAAATTGGTTTTAATTTGTGTTTCAAAGGGAGCAGTTTCTGGGTTGTTTAACATTGATGATTTTAAGAGATCCATGACCATGTGGGTATGCTACAGACTTGCCACAAACATCTGAAATGCCTTCATAGCTTTTCGGGTTTAGATCCAAATAATATGTTGAGGCCCATGGAAATTCCTTCATATAACTTATGAAACCAAATACTAAGTTCAATGTTTGTGTCTGTAGTTCAATTTAATACATTTATAAATCTGAAAAAGATGGCATGAATTCATGTAAAAGAAGAGCCTAGTTTAAGATTGGTATTAAGGTGTTGTGTGATAGAGTGTATTAGGGTGTGTATCAAGGGTATTTTTGGTAGTAAAATATGGTGTATTTAGTTAACTTTATATTTTAATTAAAATATTATGGTGTACTCAGTTAATTTTAGGATTCGTTTAACAACACTCTTTGCATATTGCTAGTTTTGTACACAATTACAATAAACAATACAGTGAATGATAAAAATAGAATAAAGAAGTTGAAAGGGCTTTCGATTAACAAGTAATTTCATATTACAATTACATTGGAATTTGACCAATGTCATATGTCTATGCTAAACCAACACAGAACTAACTCACAAAAAAGAAAAACCTATGTCTCATCCACACTGTAAAAGTTGCCAATCTACTTGGCTGGCACAAAGCAACGATGCCCATAAACAAACTCGTGTACAATTTTGATCTAATTTTTGTTCCCCGTGCCGTGCATAGGATCACTTGTCCTACTTTCGGATGCTTTATGTCTTGAAAGTTGCCTGGTGGTGAGATTACCAAGCAAAAGAAATCAACTTTGAATTCAAGATTGAAGATTGAAGATGCAAACAATTTGCAATACCTTTTTTTTTCTATATTCTTTCCGCTGAAAATTAAGAAAGAACGATATTGGATTGGTTCTTTGATTTGGTTGCTTGAATCAAATTCATGGAAGCTCTTTCAGAGTCTTCAAATTTCCATAGCCACCACAACTTTCTTCGTCTCTGTATTCGATCCCACAAGAGTGTTTACCTTCTTGATCAGCCCAAGAACTTGGCTTGCAGCTTTTAAAGAACATAAAGCTCACAATTGAGTCAAGAACAACAAGAACTGAGTACAAATAAGCAATCAAAAGCCCCTCTAAAGCCATAGAAGATCCAAGCTTTCCTGCAAAATGACAAGCTCTTACAACCCGGTATTGGAACAATGCTTCGATTGCAGCCAGGGCCAAGTTGACAGGCAGAGCCAGAGACAAAGCAGTTGCAGTTCTTCCTCTTATCAAAATACATGCCTTGAGAATTGCCAAGTAGCCACCACTCCTCTCTGTCCCTGATAAAACCAATGACAAGTTGCATATTATGAGAGCATTGGCAAGAACTATAGAGTAAAGAACAGCCCCAGATGCTGATAAGAAGAGGAGGGTGTTGGGAGACGAGAACTCAAATCCTTCAAGAAAATTGAAGGCAATGAATAGCAGAGAAAACACTGTTGCATTAGCAGAGAGGATCAAGAATGAGTTGAAAATATGGGTGTGGAGGAGTGGGATGTAGAGAGAAATGACAGAAGAAAAAGATGGGTGTGATGAGAAAGTTGTTGGCTTTTGGTGATTGAGACATTGAATCACAGAGGCTTTGGTTATGAGCAAGAAGGTGAGGGTGAATGGTATGGTGAAGATTGAGGAAGAGATTGTTTGGGAAAGCTTGTGGTTGAGAATTGAGAAGAATTCTGAAGAGGGTGGGAAGCCTGCAGCATCAAAAAGACTCTGAAGGCGGTTGTAAATGGTGGGCAAAAGAGAAGACCTTGAAGGAACCAATGCTTGAGAGATGAGAACCGAAGCTGAGAAGGGTAAAGCAATGAGTGCCACAATTGAGGTGAAGAATTGGTAGTTCTGAAGAAAAGTATGGACTGATTTTCTCAGAATCTTGCCTGCTTTTGCCATTGAAATTCTTGGGTGGTCTTCTTGCATTGCAAGGGAAGAGAGATGTAGATATCAAACTGGGTGTGTAAAACACCAATTGGGTGTATATTAGAAGAGACTTGGGTTTTGCTCTCTCTCTCTCTCTCTCTCTCTCTCTCTCTCTCTCTCTCTCTAATTGGTTGGTTAGAAAGAGGGATTAAGGGGGTTGGTGTTTTGGATGCCTGGTCTGGCCAACAACTAAAGACTAACAAATTTGCAGAGGTGGAGTTGTTTGGCAAAGCTATTGTTTTTATCATACAAATTCCTTGGACTCTTTTGGGCTTATTTTTTGTGCCTTCGTAATCTCCAAATTCCCAACATAGTAGTTGGCAGAAGGAGGCCTGTTGTGGCAATTTCTTGATGTAAATTTATGAGCTGAAAGAAACCTTGTTTTCCTCATGGCTTGGCTTTTGCTGATACAAAGAGTGCCTGTTTTGGATTGCTTCTACCACACATTGTTTTTGCTCTTTTTTTTTCCTTTTCTTTTTGTTTCATGATGATAGCATTATTTTCTAGCTTATTATAGCTATAGCCTCATTGTTACTCATGGGAAAATTTAATTTTTCTTGTGGGATCCGCTTCCCTTGAATCTTAAGTATTGCTTTATTTCTGTTTTGTTTTATATATTTGATTTGGATGTAAAATCAAAGGAAAATATGGGTGAGATTTGGACTTCAACTCTATTAAAAGAAAGGTAGTTTTTATTGTTTGCCAAATATATCTATAAATTCTATATAATCATTCTCCAAGGCAGACATGCGTTTAGCTAAGTTAGTTTGAGCTGGGATGTGCTGCCTACTTGCACCCGAGTTCGAATAGAAAATCTAGTTAAAAGTGGATCAATAACTTTTTTATTTATAAAATTGGTTGTAATGTTGTAGGTAGTTGATCCATAAATTTCTGAATTGATAAATATTTGGCATTCACGCCAGATATAAAGTAGGGTCCGTAATTCCTTATTTTGTAATGTTTCACGTGGCACAAGTTATAATTCTTAGCTTGCAAGATAATTATAATAATAGCTACGTACGAAAGAAGAAGGAAAAGGAAATGTGGAAAATCTTAAATACAAATCTGGTTAGACGACTAAGATGGGTTACCTTCTTATTATATGGTTATATCAACAATTATTTATGAAAATAATTTAATTGAAATTGAATCCATCAATACTTGTTGAAAATAAATCATCACCGTCCATTTTGACATTAAATTGCATCCCTGATAGATGGCTCCACCTCCACCTCTTGAAATTATGCACAAACACAATTGCTCATCATCCATTTTGTCATTAATAATTCTAATCTGCTTCTCTACGTTTATATATATATATATATATATATATATTCTTCTGATAAAGCAATATTTTAGAAGTATTATAATGTATAGAGAGAGGGATCTAACTCGAGTATAAGGGGATGGACACACTTTTTCGGCTAACTGACTTAATCTACAAAATAGTATGTATAAAGTTGATTGGATTAATGATTTAGAATGCAATAATATGAGTGCAATTTCTGGCCAATAAGGTACAAAGATGATGGGGTATTTATCGTCTTCATAATGTCGTTGGTGCGCAGACTTTCGTCTTGGTCGGGTGGTTACTTGCCTACTTAGCTTGAGAGTTCTGTATATGCCTATATTAATTAGGTTTGATGGAATATGGAAAGAGCTGTTTTGCTTTGGTGAGGCGTCGGTGTTTCTGGTGACCTTCTAACTGAAAAGTACCTAAAGAAAAATATGTTATGGTTGATGAGTAACAAACTTAAATTAATCCATCCCTGCTAAATATAGATAGATTACATGTTTGACATAACACGAGTTTACTTGATATGTGTAATGTGAAGATATCACGTACAATTTTTTTGAATATTAGTTTAAATTATAAGAGGAGGTGGGTTTCTCTTACACACTACTAAGGTGTCGTGAAAATTCCAATATGAGATTATTAATCAGCAAGTCAAGACTCTTTTTCACTGAATTAGACCCCGTTGAGTGAGGAGGTTATCACGTACAACTTTTACTTGATAAAGAAGTGAACTCAAAAAATTCAGTCGTGGCCAACATAATGACAATGGTAAAGTGGAGCACTTCGCATAAATAGACCGGCATAATTAATTCTGATTTCTTACAATCAAAGGGAAGTATATATGTTCCTTCTGGGCTGTAGATAATTGGCTATGAATCAGAATCATGCACACAGCAAGATGCAAATGAAGTGAAAGGAGAAGGGAAACTGTGAACATGGAAGTAGAGTTAGCATTTTTCATGTGCGGTAATTTCTTTTTCTTTATATACAAAACGACCAAAAAACAATTAAGACTCCCTAATTGGGATTATCAATTATACTTTATTGCAATTCAAATCCAAGACTTTTCCAACAAAGGAGGCATAAAGTTGATAATAAATTATTCAAGAACACACATCAAGTGCCAATTTTTATTTATTTATTTATTTATTTTGCGTTTGAAGTTTATTTGGCAAGAGTTGTTCAATCTACCAAATTATTGGAGCAATTCCATTTCATTTTCTTATTGTGAAAAATTATAGACCATATATGGGCTGTAGCCCATGTATGAACAGCAAATCAAATTCTGTAGCCCTATAATTGATTTTGATTCTTCAATAATGCAAGACATTAGTTCTATCATCAAATGATTATGTTTGCAAATGACCACTTTTGTACAAAAAGAAGAGTGAAAATTGAATGAAAGAAACAAAAAAGGATTATGCACTTCCTGTATGATGGTAATTGAACATGACTCAAGATTCCAAACTCCCCACATTTTGTGTGGAAACTTATCAAACCCTCCCTTGATTTGTTACCACCATGAAATCAGATTAAACATTGTTTTAACCTAATCCTATTGTCTTTTTGTTGTGACATTATCCACCTAGAAACTGTACCACTTTTATTTGTTCTTTTAAAAACATTATAAAAGCAAAGGACTTACCAGTGTAGTAGTTTGGAACAATTATTTCCTCATGAAAGGTCAGGGATTCGAGTCCTAGAATCCGTATAATATGTGTGAATTTAATATATTGTCACCTTGTCAAACATATTTTAATGATTATGTACGTTATAGTTGGGACCTATCTATCCACGCACCTTGTCAAACATCTCAAAGTACCCCAAAAAAATATTGAAGAGGATTTATAATTATCTAAATCAACTTGGTGGTTATGGCATTCTAATTGATTAGATTAGTTCCAACTTATGTGTCAATGGGTTAAGTCAACTGACTTATGAGTTATAGCACACCAAATGACACCGATTGAGTAATATAATAATATTACATTTTTGGAAGTGGATGTATATTTCTATATATATATATATATATATATTTAATACTTAAGTATATATTGTTGAAAGCAACTTCCTTGAAATGAAAATCATGAGTACTTAACCATGGCCACTTTAATTTTTCTTTAATTTTTTTTATTATCTGTCCTGTAATTTAAGCTTTTTGGGCCTATCGGTGGTCTCCAAAAGGGGGACCTGACTCCAATGACCCCCATTTTTGGGCTTAATGCTGAATGTAAAAGGCTCTTGGGCAAATGTTGAACTAAGGCAGCTGATGGGCTTTACTCATCTTAATTTGAGGCTTCCTTTGAAGGTTTCTCAGTAGAAATTGGGCTAATGCTGCCTGACCCAAGCTAGTTTATAGTTGGGCCTAAACATGACCTAACCTATACTATATTACTAATCTTACAGTAAATTACATTTTACTCCTCCGCAAGAATTCTATAGTGAGGGTCTTATATATGACTCTTAGGTGAGATTTTATTTCTTAATTGTTGGGTCAAATTGGTTAGCCGTTGAATCAAATTGGTTAGCATGATCTAATGATTAAGAGATAAGACCTCACCTAAGAGCCATATATTAGAACCTCATTAAATTATGGATCATATAATTTACTTTGAACGATTTTTTTTGGACGAATTCACTTTGAACTTTGGTACGTTACAATTAAAACCTTACTATGTGAACTGAGAAGTTTGCATCGCGTTGCAAATTGATCCTTCGGTCACAGTTTTCGTTAAATTCCACATTTTTTGCCTAAACGACACACATGGATATAGAAAATTAAAAATTTAAAACTAGTTAAAAAAAAAGTCCAGCTAATGAAAGTATTTACAGTTTCCAACATCAACTAAAAAACTGTAAAGGTCACCACATACCCAATTGGGTTGGTATGGGCAATTGGATATTTTTGAGAATAAAGAGACATATGTGGGTTGATGGTGCATCGTGCAAAAAAAAAAAAAAAAAAATATATATATATATATATATATCATAACCAGACAATTTATAGGGCCGCCAATTATGCACACAATACACTGAGAAGAACCCACAGATAATGTAGACCAAGTTCTTTGCTTTCAAACTCATAACGACAAACAAAACAAGCTTCCAATCTTCCACATTGTTTCATACATTTAGTTGTTCGTTTTTCATGTAACCTTTTGTCACACAGTCAAAATGTTTACTATTTAACTTTGGTAAACCAGTAACCAGTAAACACAGTCATACTTTTTGACTTGCAACGGGATTTTAATTGAAACTCTATACTTACTTATTCCTGTTTTATTGTTCTCTTTTCTTTATTTTTCTGTTCAAAATAAGAATAATAAAACGAGAATATGAAAGTTTTGTTATGGACAAGAAATGAGAATGAAATAAAAAATGAGATGATAAAACCCAAAAAGAAGCTTAAAAATAATGTGGACGTCACCAAGTCAACGTGGCCTTATCTCAATCAAACACACCCTTAACACCCTTGCTCCACATAAACCCACTCACTCCTAGCCAAATTTGCCGTAACGCCCTCCCTCATTCCTTTTTGAGAATCTTGCACTCATTTTGACCACTTTTCTCTCTCTCTTTTTTTAAATAAAAAAAGTTTCTAGGTCTTCTTTCCAACTCACACAGATACACTAATATAACACTAATATAAGGTTTAAGATTGGGTTTAGTGGACTTAAACAGAAATGTGTTGTCTTATGGTATT